CACACACACACACACAACACACACACACACACACGCACACGCACACGCGCACCCCCACCCCCACACCCACACACCCACACACCCACAAAGACACGCACACTCAAGTCGTGGCCAACCTTGTACGTGAGAGGCATAGTAAAAGGGGATCTTCAAGAACAAACGGAAGGGGTACCCCAAAGGAAACCAAAGTAAAGTTAGTAAACATAGATGACACAGGGATTTCAAGAGAGTTATTGTGCTCCAACTTCCAGGTTACTTGCTATAGACTTCTATGCATAGAGGTTTAAAAATTGTTTCATCGTTGGAACGTCTCAACTAAAGTGTGCTTCGTTGTCTATAGCAATAGGACTTAAAGCTGCTTCGATCTGTTGTGGTGAGAATGCAAAACACACACACCCAAAAGGAACTTTAAAAAAGTTAAAAAAAACACCATTTGACTGTATGATGCTGTCACAGAAACCTATGGCTCAAATACTTGAACATATTTTTAATCAGTATTATTTAATATCTCTATCACTATATTATGATGCTCCTAAAGTCTAACCCGGTCCTCAGCTGACGCTCGTCTCCGGGCCCAGCAAAAATCGCTTGTGCGCGAGAGGTGCCGGGGCGCGCTGTCCTGTCGGGAACGGCAGCACCGATCAATTTTTTTCACCGTAGTGGCAGCAGCGCTTGTTGGAGGACAAGTACTTTGCGGTCCTCTGCAGGTGAGCGCCTCCTGCCTCCCGCGCCATTTTCTTTTCTTTTGCTTTTTGTCCGTTTGTGTGCTGTTGGTTGCTCGCCTGCCGTTTGCGGGACAACACCACTGCAGGTCGGAACAGGGTGCATCATAGAAGAGATTCGCGAGGCCTTAGCACCCTGTGCAGGGTGCAAGGTTATAGTACATGTATCAGTAGCAAAAGTTGGTCCGGATTCAGTCGAACATGCTGCAAATGTGCACAGTGCCACAGTATCATGTAGATGTATCTGTAGCCAAGATTCGTCCGGATTCGTTCGAAATGCGTAAAACAGTGAAACATGCAAAACCCTATATCGTCTAGAGTCTAGACGCATCTGTGTACCCAACCCGAAGGTGGTCCCGATTCATTGGAAACGTTGGAGACATCCACATGGCCACAGTATCTGGAGTGGCTTTTGGTCATTTTGTTTATTGTTTTGCGTCGTTTTGCGCATGGGATAGAGCGCGGCACACTTTCAGGACGGCAGGGAATGTTCGAATACTCAACCTCGACATGTGCTTAGGCCATTTTATCTGACAGATACATTTACCTGGGATGGGCTTTTTTTTGGGTGGGGGGTGGGGGGTGGTGGTCCTTCAAAATTTCACTTGAATTAACGGGCCCAGTGCCCAAGGTGGTACACAGCTCAAATATGGCACAGTGAATCCAGAGGTCACCTGGCCTCGAACCTGCTCCCGGTGTGTTTCTTAGACTGCCCTGCGATATCGGGCCTCACTCCACTGCTCGAGTTTCTTTTTTTCGTTCTTTCTTTTTTCCTTTTTTGTAAAAGACAGCTTTTATTAGAAGAGGGAGGTGTGTGTGTGTGTGTGTGTGTGTGTGTGTGTGTGTGTG